CTACCTTAGATTAAAAAGTCTAGTATAAAAGGTAATAACTAACAGTTCAATAAAAATAAAAATTTTATAAAATAAATCTATTAAAGACTGCATATACTAATTAGAATTTTGGTTAAAGTAACTTTACTTTATACGCCTGCAGTAATTATCATTGCAATATCATGCTGTAAATAAGCAAATGCTTCATGATAAAGGTATAGTTAGGGGTGTGGGTAGTAGATCCATACAAGTTTATATTAAAAAAATTTTTAATAATATTTATAAATTAATGAAGTTAAAATTTAATTTTAATCTTAAAGCTTTTAAATATTCTTATACAGATTTTAAAATTAGAATTTTTCTACAAGTTTTAAAATCTAAATTAAACAAAATTTGATACAAAATCAAGTTTTAACTTAATTATAACAAATCAAAATAATTTATTAATACTATTAGAAATCAAGTTGGCATTTTAAAAAAATTAACGCTTTCACTTTCACTGCTCACATCTCAGTGCCAATGATTTAATAGTCAAGAGAAATCTTAAGATCTAAGCTTTCTTTTGACAATTAAATAACGAAAATAGCTTCGAGATTCATCGAGATATGAGCAGTGAAAGTTAAAGTATCAATTTTTAAAAATATCGATCTGTTTGGTTTCTATTGACGACAGCCATATTACTTTTAGAGATTATTTTAATTATTAAATAATTTCAAATACTAAACTATATATTAATCTTTGGATTTTCGATTGATTATTCACCATTAAGAATGAAATATAAAATTTAAGTGAACTGCACTGGTAATCCATAGGGAAACTATCGATATTTTACCCACGGATATACAATATATTTCTAAGGCATTCACAAATTCACCTGCAAAATACAAAATACATGCGCAAGATGCCCGGCAATGAGCTTTTCCTAGCTAATTAAAATATGTGGGTCTAGAATCACATGACAACCTGAATAGAATATATAATAATACTAATTATTAATAAAAACGTCATATTACGTCATAAATAATGATAATTGTATATATATAAATGATGGAAGAACAATCTTTTTCTTTAAACTTTTTTTTTTTTGTGTTCTAAAAAATATTTTATCTTTAATCGAAAGATCGCGTACTTTAATTTTAAAATCTTTTGTTTGTCACACAATTTTATTATGTCGTTAATTTTATCCGACACAGAAAATTTTGATGAAAAAAACTCTGAAACAGATTGTGGTTTGTTATCAAGTTGCTTTCAAATCTTGATTTGATGGTTTAGAGTTTATTCAATAATTTCCTTTATTCATAATTCTAATAGATTCCACCGTTAGTAGTTCAGCTCTAAGTATCGTAAGCAGTCCAAATATCGAGAAATTAAGTCCGACACAACAAACTTGTCCGTTAGTTATGAAAAATACGTTTGCTTTACACCCTTGCAGATACACAGCAACACCCTTGCCAAGTCATATTATTCCTAACCAAGTACAATTGGCACCATCACAAATAACATCCATATCTACGCAGTCACAATCTACACCTACATCTCCAATAGGCACACAACCCAACCAATATGAGTCACGAGAAATATTACCAAAAATCGAAACAAAATCTAAAGAAATGTCTGAAGAATACATTCAATACGAACGCGAACGTAGGCGCAATTATGCTAGATTATTACGAGAGAAAAAACGAGCCCGTGTAAAAGAGCTTGAAGATAGAGCCGCTTTTCTCGAAAAAGAAAATAAGCGTCTTCGTAAAAATCTTGAAATATATCATGCTAGATTGGCTTACGCGGGTATCATATTTAATGATACATCATTCAGTGACATGAATTTATATAACTCAATGAACAATTTTGTTCCCTGTTTAAGTACAGT